ATTTCTTCCTCATTTCCCTTTTCTTCTTAACCTTTTTCTTTTTTTCTGTTTTCTTTCCTTGTTCTACTTTTTCTTCTTTTATTTTTGCGTTTTCTTTCTCTTTTCTTCTTCTTTTATTGTCTTTTCTTTTTCCTTTTTTTCTGTTTTTATACATATTCTTTTCTCTCTCTTCTTTTCTTCTTTTGTCTCTCTTTCCAGTTTTCTTTCCTTTATTCTTCACTAGTTTTATTAAGTGCACTTTTCTCCCCACCTCCATATTTCTGTCTTCCCTTTTCTGTCTTTAGTTTTCTTTCTTTCGTTTTCTGTTCATTTAACAGATTCATTCTTTCTGTTTTGCTTACTTATCATTTTCTTCTTTTTGTCTCTATCTTTTTCTTTTTTCCACTTCTTTCCTTTTTATTGTTTCTTTTATATTTCCTTCATTCGTTTTTTATTTTTCTGGGGTCTTTGTTGAAGCCCCTTAATCACATTAATCACCGCTTGAATAACAATTCCATAAATACTGCTGCAAAGGTCTTTAATCTTTCTCATTACTTATCTAAGTCTAGGCTGCCTTCAACTAACAAAAGACACACTTCATCAAGTGCAAAATCATTACTATGAGCTGAATTTGACATTGCAATTTATAAAGTAAGCAACACGACAAAATCGAAAAATGTTTGACTTTTATTTATTCGCAAAGACTATAAATATCTAAGAATGAAATACACACACAAACACACACACATATATATCGATTCCGGTCTTTTGCAATGTTTTCAGGAAGATTTTATTTGTTATATAGAAATAAAGTGTCGCTGCTGACACTTGAGTTTGAACATAGATCGCCAGTGAGCGAACACAGGCGATTCCGTTATTGAATGAATAGGCCACGTGACCATAGAGGAAACGCATATATCGAGTCGCGTGATGTCTAGATTGATCTGCATTTCTAGTCTATCCTCTATTACTATTCGGATCTTCATTTCTACTCTATTAGTATACGGACTGCTATTCTCTACTCTATTCACTATACTATTTCTCTATTCAGATCACTATATGGATTAGTATTCGAGCGAGAATTATCGCGTAAGTACTATTAGTGCGGGTTATATTCGAAGGCGTCTGACACCAGTATTGTTCAACGGCGTTACTATAGTTGTATCTGCGATTAAAAAGTCTCTACTGTAACGAGCATTACAAAAGTGACAACGAGTGTTCGTTGACATCACAAAATTATTAAATATCGATATTTTTACTAAGCTTATCTGATTATATTTCACAAGTGGGAAAAGCCTATCTACCTTGAAAATCCCGTTAAAAATTCTGGTTTTACCAGAGCAGAAATAACTGAAAATTGTTATCGATTAGTAATATATAACTAAACTATGAAACAGGTCCAAAAATTAAAATATTTTAAACTTTCAAAGGTTTAAAACTTAACTCTAAAATATTTGGCTTTTTATATACGAGATTAACCCAAAAACAATATATCTAAATTTATAACATTATTGTTCAGTCATGAAGATATTTTTCCTTAGCTTTCTCTAATTTTGCATCTCTTTCAGCTAGATAGTGTATTCAATCATAAACTACCGAGTACGATTTTCATTAAGTCTTAATTAAAATTTTCGAAGTCTCCAAAATGCTGGAATTGCTAATCAGATATTGTGTTCTATGAAGCGAAACAAGTGGAAATCGAAATGTGGTGAAATCATTTTCCATCTCATTTCCATGAGGATCGACTTCTATTTCATAAAAGAATAATTGTCTTTTCTTTTTTTAGTCCGTCATTCAAATAAACCAATAACTCACTGTAGTGTTTGCCACAACTGTTTGTTGCGCCGCATTTGCAACAAGAGGATCGAAGATATCTTAATTTTGAGAAAATAATTGTCTTTACTTTTCCAGTGAGTCATTCAAACAGTTCAGTTGCTCACTGGAGTTTTTCCGATAAATTATTTTTTGTTCTTGTTTTGTTTTTTATTTTTATTTTTGCGTTTTTAGGGGGTCGCATTTGCAACATGAGAATCCACATTTTCTTGCAGCAAATCATCGATCGACATAGGCAGTTTTGTGCCATGCGTGATACATGTTAGGCGATCATGTATCTTTCGATACATGAGTGACGAGACAGATTTTTCCGCAGTAGGTTGCCATTTTGACCAGTTGCCATCCAAGGCTATAGAACCTAGTCTGTCCTGCTATTTACCTATAGCTGGGGGAGAAGAAGAGGATCCATGCCTTTCCTAAGGGTATTTAGCACGTAAGTGAATGTAATGGATTCGACTGGAATTCGAACTCGGCGCTCCCATTCCTCAAACCGAGTCGCTATCCATTACTCCACTTCCTTTTTTATAAAGAAAAATATTATTTTCTTTTTCAGTGCGTCATTCAAACAAGCTAGTTGCTCATTGTAGTTTTTCCGACATATGTTTGTCGTCATTCAAACAAGTTACCGGCTATAGGGATTTTCATTAAGAGTTTTTGCAGGCTTCAGCATTTCGTTTGTAAGAAAGAATTTCTTTGATTCCCACTAAACAGAAATCTACTTTTTTTCAGTTGTAGATTCCGATTAGCTTCTAAATGAAGGTTGCCCTGTATTTAGCTACGGTGTTATTTGCTTTCTGTTCTTACAATGAATATATTTTCACCGTCAATGATTATCTTGTTCAAAAACAACGTTGAGAAAGAAAAGAATAGCAAACCATTCGTTGTTTTTTTTCTAAATTCATGTAAAACACATTTTCTCCAGCTTTTAATTTTTTCATATGGGTTGTATACAACGCAGTATTTTTTTTTTTTTTTTTGCAGGTTACATAACTATATTAGTTGATTGGTTTTATTTTACTTTCCATCTTTTAATATCAACGAGTGGGAAACGGATAGATAGATAGATAGATAGATAGATAGATAGATAGATAGATAGATAATGAATAGATAATAGGCATGGATAGATAGATAGATAGATAGATAGGCATGAGATGATAGATAGATAGATAGATAGATAGATAGATAGGCATGAGATGATAGATAGATAGATAGATAGATAGATAGATAGATAGATAGATAGATAGATAGATGGCATGAGATGATAGATAGATAGATAGATAGATAGATAGATAGATAGATAGATAGATAGATAGATAGATAGGCATGAGATGATAGATAGATAGATAGATAGATAGATTAGATAGATAGATAGATAGATTCAGGCATTCATCTGCTTTATTATAGTATGCCGACAAACATGATTTTCTATGGAATTTTCTATGGAATTTTCTTCTGTAAACTTCAACCTGTCCCAACAATGTGTTGAAGAATGCAACTAAATCGAAGTTAATTTAATCACATGCATTCAGAGATTTCCATTCTAAGTTCTTCAGTAAAAATAGAGATCAGCTGTAAAAATAGAGTCTAGCTGATTTGATTGCAATACGAAGCTTAATTTTAAAATATGAACCTAAAACGAAGGATCAGTTTTGTTATTTTTTTTTAGAATAGCAAGAGAAACGGATTCACCACCCCACCCTTTCTGTCACAGGGGAAAAGCATTAACCTATTTAAATTTTAGGATTTGTTGTTTTCCTTTGCATTAAATTCAACTAGAAATGCAATCAGAATTACAGATGTCCTCCATCTTGCTCGAGTTGTATACGAAAATCATTATCAAAATACTAATATTATTCAATAAAAATGGCGGCAGAATGATTTTTCTATTTCAGTGATTTTTTATTGTTTTTATTCTTGCTTTTTTCAAGGATAAAATTATAATCGTGTAATGCTGGATTTAACGGATATGTAATCTTTGTGTTTGTTTAAAAATATATATACACGTCTTATAAAAAATTATTCTTATAAAACTGGGCACATTTTTTTCAAAAACGTATTCTTAGAAATATGTATTCTTATTTAAAAATCATAAAACTATAGTATCCAATGCCGTATCAAAAAGAACTGAATGTCATTGCATGTGATTGATACAAGTTACCGTTGCATGTTACCGTTATGACCTTCTGAGTTTTGGTTTGTCGAAATTAATTTCAAACAAAATAATATAATGACACTTTAAAAAAAAATCTTATATACCGTACCTCTGAACACTAATGGGTATGTCCCTATCCTCATAAATACGTTAGCCACTATTGTAAGTGGGGTTATATGCTGTCTAAGTAGTCCACCACTAGCAGTGGTTTACCTACTTCACGCCGCTGGTGAGTATTATATTTTGTTGATGTTATAAAGATTAACGGGCACGTGGTTAGAACATTCACATTCTGACCATGAGAATCTCACCATGGTCGATTTTTCAGGAAGAAAACTTTCTGATGTTATTGGACTGGAGGGTCGATCCCAGCGTACGGCACCTTTGGAAAGTGCCTGAAAACCATACCACGGGTTGGCCCAAGACTTGTGAATGAAATTGAGTAGACGGAAACCTTGGGGGCCGTCGATAGCTGTGCTAAAAAGAAGTTATAAGTCATCGTGGCCAAGGGCTGGAGCGTGCTGGCCTTGTTCAAATTGTTGATCCCGCTAGATAACAGGCTCTTTCTCAGAAAATGTAACTAAGGTCTGCTCAGCATAGTTGCAGTTGGCTCTGTGGGTGTTGAACAAACACAAATACGTCTGTGATAGAGATTGGTTAGCCGCCCTAGTAGACAGATATTCTCCAATACGAGTGGACAGCTATACATATACAAAGATTACCATTTCATTTCCAACTTACTTTTTGGTTATTCCTCATTCAGTAACCTTTTCTTGGTTACAACACTTAAATTTTATTTTTGTGGGGAGTTGTGTAAGCAATCAATTTACAATGCATTTGCATGGTAAAATGAACCCCCTCTTTAACTCTTAAAAATTATATATACAGGGTGACTGAAAAGTAATTCCCTATTTTATGTATGATGGGCTCCTCTGTCTAACTATAATTTTTACAAGACGATATAGTCCATCATACATAAAATAAGGAGTTACTTTTCAATCATCCTGTACAGGTTGTCGACCTATGCTACTTGGCTTACGGCCGCATCATGTTGAAACACTGGTTCCTTTACGATCAGCGAAATTAAGCAACGTCGAGCTTGATCAGTACCTAGATGCGTGACAGCTTGGGAATACCAAGTGCTGTAAGCTTGGATGTGCCGGTGGTGTAATGGATAATGGCTCGGAATTGTTAATTGGAGAGCCGAGTTCCGATTTCCGTTGGGTATGAATCCACTTATTCTACCCCCAGCTATGGGTTAATTAGTAAGCTTTGTATCAGTAAACCATTATTATCTCCAAAAATCTGGAAATCGGAAAATATTTTCTGGCTTTATATAGCCTACAATTATTTTTGTTAAACCGTAGAAATCGAATCAATCACTGAAACCTATGCAACTTACGACTATTCGATTTTACGTCATTTCGCAGCGTTAGGTTTTCCCAGCTCACGACATCGACGATCCACAATCAAGCACCAGCGGCTAATAAGATGTTTCGTATCTATTTTGATATGTTTTACAATTAAAATGTTTTCTGTTTTTTGCACCTGCATTTTTTTTTTGGGGGGGGTAGTAAATATTAAACCAACTGTATTGTAATATGTAATGTTCGATTTAAACCTGACGAACGTAAAAATAATAAACAAAACAATGTGTAGAGAAATTATACTAATTGGTATCAAATGTAAAGAAAGCATAAAAATTATATAAAATACAATAATGCCTAAAGAAAGATAAAAAGATTGCAAAATTAATTACAGGCCAACTTATAATCAGATCGATATACAACTTGAAGGTCGTAACCAATCGTGGTCGGAAGTCGACGACGACCTATATATATATATATATATATATATATATATATATATATATATGAACAAAGACAGAAAGAAAACTTATCTTAGTCGACGCGTTTCGTCCTTTGATGGATTCTATCAAGGCAAATGTAAGGATTTTATTTTGCAACAATATTTATAAACAAAAGTAAAATTGTCGTTAATTTTCCAGATTTTGTAAATTTAAGATATTTACATCAAGGCAAATTATGAAGGATATTAAGTCATGTAATTTAATATCTAACATATAAAAATGAGTAAATGTTGTTATTGACGTTTTTTATAATGTAATTATTACTTATTTTATTTTGTTAGATTTTACCTTTGAATCTGAGATTCAAAGATTTTAATAGATTTTACCTTTTACATTTTAAAAGTTTTTACCTTTTACATTTCAATAGATTTTACATTTTACATTAAATATAAAAGAGAATTAGTAGTAGTATACAGAATCCACACGATTATTATTAATTTCTATTATTAATTTCTAAACTGAACTGAATTGTTCTATTCTTCATGTTCGAACTTTTAACAATATTGCGCTAACAAATATCTCACTATGATGTGCCGTTTCTTGTTCTCCGGTAACGAGAACAGCCACAAACAGAAGTTGTTATAATAAAGACAGAATTGATCATCTCGTTTATTGTTGAATTCCTGTGGGCAGATTCCTCTCTTGTAAAATGTCTGATCTTTTAAACTTTGGCACACTCTTGAACTATCAGCCAGCGGAGAAAACCGTCTTTTTATTTAATCGATTCTCTTCAGTAAATATTTGCGCTAGTTATATGGAATGTGAAAATTAAAATGAATTATTAATAAATTTTCATGAATAATTTTCCTCTTATTTGCATTTTATCGGATGTTTATAACCTATGCTGAAGAAAAATTTTGAAAACTCCGAGACGCTTTGGATATGCCTACATGTCTGAATATCAGTCGGAGAGTAAGTTTCACAAACAATTATTAATAAATTCAGGCTTCACTATGTGCTCTGCTATCATAACCGTGCACCAGACTCGGACAAGCTCCGTAAATAACTACAGAAATGCATACTTAGACGCTGTATCTAGCAGGTTTGTTGTATAAGAATACTTATGAAAAACTATTAATACTCCATTTTGAATTCTGCTTCATGCGGGTTTGGGTTCTACAGTCAAAATAAGATGGGCTACGAAGAAGTTCTGTTTCACTTTGTGCTGCGCTATTTTAACCATGTTAAATAACCTGATGAACGTCAAAATAATAAACAAATGAAATTCTCTATGAAAGCGAATAATGCCAAGAATGAGTAATGGGAAATAAAATTCAGTGATATTACATAACAGATTATTAATCTTTTCTTTGTTTCTAACGAAATTTTTCTGTTTCTTAATACTTAGCTTAGGTTTTGGAAGGCATCTTTCGCTATCCCAATGCGCTTTCGGATTTCGATGTCATATTCTTTGTCTTTTGTTAAAACACTTCTAGATATTTAAATCTTTGCATTGCTTAATTTCGACACCTCCACCAAGTTATGTAAATAACTACATAAAATTTATGTGTAAGAAAATGGTAATGATAATATTAACCGTTTCTTTATAAGGAAACATTCGGTATTCATTGACCGAACAACCAGTTCTAATGTCGGTTGAAATTTATAAAAATTTTCTTCTAAAATATTTTTCAGGAAAATAGGTTTCCCAAGTCCCTTGGCTGTTATTGCTCTTTCCAGTATTGATGAAGGATTCCTTCCTAACCTTTTGTTTGAGGAGTGTAAAAATGTCGACATGTTGATTATATTATTATTCTCCCTTCAAGTTACATATGCTATCCATTTTAGTTTTTGCTGTTGTTGAAAAGCCGTATTGTGGTGTCTTTTCTGTTATTTGATACAGCTCTTTGTGATTTTCTAGTACCAGTCCAAAGACATTCGAAGAATGCTGGTCCTCACTAAGAGCTACAGGTTTCATTCTCTCTAAGTGATTTTAACTAATGATCTGAGAAAGAGGCTGTATACACCGGACACTTTAGATATTTCCGAACGAGTTAGGCAAAATGCATGACATCCATATGAAACCTAAAATGTAACGAACAGAACTCGAGATTTTAGGCCAAGGTTTTGATTTTGTAGCAAAACGTCTAAATATAATAGAATCCATCACAATTAGCAAAAAAGTCATTACATCTACATCGAACACAACCATAATTTACTAGCCGTGTTCTGGAACTACAAACATGTTTCTGTATCAGCAACTTATATTGCGCGTGTAATAGTACAATCAATATCCTTGAGAATAGCTAATAGATTAATGGAAAGCGTTACAAACGAAGTGTTATTTAGAGAATTGCTGTATCCAAGAAAAGGAATGTCTTCTTCACACACAAGTGAAGCACAATTAAAAAAACTTAAGAGAAATAATTCGTCAGTCATTTTCAGTGAAACATTTATTAGTGAGGGATTGCTGTCCAGTTACACAACTATTAAACTACATAAATACATGCATACACTTCTTTTGTGTGCCATGTCCTATCATGACATAGGCGACCATGGCTCTCTACAACTTCCTCTCGTTTGTAGCTCTTAGCAAGGTTTGTCTTTTCGTTATCCCCCCCCCAATCTTTTTTCTGCTATCCATTTACACACGCTCGTTCGCAAGATGATTCGCTGATTTTTTTCTGCCTCTTTTGCCATCACTATGCCCTGTGAGTGTCAGATTCTCCAGGCAATCTTTCTTCATTATGCGTCCTAGAGATTTTAACTGAGCATCATTGTCTCTAGAACTTCATCGTTGTTCACATGTTCAGTCTATGTGATTCTCAGCATCCTTTCTTTAGAACCATATCTCTGTTGCCTGAAGTCTCTTCTTCTTCTGTAAAGAGATAGTCCAACATTCACCGCCATAGAAGAGGATCGATATTACATAACAGATTATTAATCTTTTCTTTGTTTCTAACGAAATTTTCCTGTTTCTTAATACTTAGCTTACGTTTTGGAAGGAATCTTTCGCTATCCCAATGTGCTTTCGGATTTCGATGTCATATTCTTTGTCTTTTGTTAAAACACTTCTAGATATTTAAATCTTTGCATTGCTTAATTTCGACACCTCCAATTTGTAATTCGCATTTTGGACAGTTTCTCTTGCTGACAGCCATATTTGCTCTCTTCTTACAATTGATGTTAGTAGTGTTTAGCCTTTTCTTTTCGATTTCCTTTACATTCAGTAGCAGTTCTTTATAGTTTCCTTTCTGTGTCTGCTATCAACACTGAGTCATTTGCATATCTTATGTTGTTCAAATTGTTCCCCACCCCGCGCCAAATAATAAATCCTGGTAGGACTTCTAATTCTCTCGGGATCGTCTTGGTATTATGTTTAAAAAAATGCAGTGGGAAGTTACATGCTTGTTTTATGCCCGTCTCTTGTTTTTGCATATTTACTGAATTCATTCAGTCTCTCCTTATACAGACGGTTTTCTCCCAGTATAAGTTTTACTTTATTGTAATGTCTTTCCAGAATTAGGTCAAGCTAACCTAGTAATTACAACAATTCTTTGTGTCTATTCTTGTCAAATGTTTGCGCATAATCTATAAAACATAGGTATACGTCCATTTGCATTTACGTTGCTAAGCTGACAAATAAAAGACCCTGAGTCTTATTTCTCGAATCTTTCGATAATTTGTCCATTCCTCAAAAAAGTTATGCTCATGGAGGTGAAATACGGTTAATTTTAACGCCTCCAAAATGAAAATTCTCCCTATTAATCAACTGAAAGACCCTTTCTGCCTCTAATCAGCATGGCTGATACTAAACTCCATGAGAGGGAATCTTTACGCCTTCTCGGGCTTACAATCCCAACTGACATGAAGTGGAAAGATTCCATTGCAAGATCTGCTGCTAAGAAAGTTTGTTCACTGTATCAATTTTTCTCTTCAAAATCTATCTTACAGGAATACGTTTTCACAACATCGCCCACGTGACGACGACGTGATCATATTTAAACGGAACGCTGATCTTATAAAAGATTTCAGTTATCTGTTTGGATTGGTATTGCTTTTATGTTCACCGTCTTTTCATGTTGAATTATATATGGTCTATGTTAATTATGTTTTATAAATATGTCCTGAAAATGGTCTATTAGACCGAAACGTCCGACGTTGACATTAAACATTAAAACAACATAATCGCATATTAGGATTTTTGTTTGTTTTTTCAGTATATTTTTCTTCATATTTATATGTCTACCATTCACCTATTCCTTGAATATTGCTGTTACATATGGTTCGGTGCTCCCGATATATATCTAGAAATTCCTGATAAAATCCAAAGAAGAATCAGCAATATTATTGGTCCTGACACAGTTTCATTCACTTTCTCACTGCCGTAATGTCCCTTCCCTGTGACTTTTCTACAAATATTTTCATTGTAATTTTTCGGGTTAACTCTTCGCTATGGTACCTAGAACTTAAATGATTTTAAGCGTATTACTTGATTGGCAACAAGGTCTCATCAATTCACAGTTGAATTGGCGAGATGTAACTGTAAGTTCTATTCTAACATTTTTCTCGTACTTATGGAACTCACTTCCGACTCTATGATTTGATCTTCAAAAAACATCTACTGTCCTCATAATCTTTTATTGTTCTCGCTCTTTAATAATGTTTCTCTTTTTGTTATATTCTTTCATGTTGAGTAAACCCTTGTGTCTTAATGGCTTTACTGCCTCGCATGGGGTGATATGTTAATAAAAATAATAGAAATACCTTATCAGTAATTTTTGACGAATCATTTATTAGAGAGGGATTGCTCTTCAAATACACAGTTATTAAACTACATAAATATACATACATATATACACAATGTATCGAGCAGGTTTGCCAGAGTGAGATATTTATTAAAATGCGACTTGTTTGAATTTTCGCTACTTGCGATATTTGGACTAAATTTAAAGTAGAATTTCTTAACTAATGAGAAAAATGTCAATTCAAAGTTTCGTAGTCTTTCAAATTCCATCTAATTCGCTATTTGCAGCCAGTCTACTAAAGCTTTCAAGTTTGAAAAAAGTTTAACATTATTTTCCTAATAATGTTTATACAAGCAAATTATTGTTTCGACCAATGTTATTTTTCGTGAAGAACATATTTCAAAGTGAAGTCCATTCTTGGCATTTCCCACATGATTCAAATTACAGATATCCTCCCAATTTGCACGTGCAATATCTAAAAAAAAAATCCTTGTGGCAAGAGAAATGAAATTCTCTATGAAAGCGAATAATGCCAAGAATGAGTAATGGGAAATAAAAGTCAGTGAATCAAAGCTGCCACACTGGGCTGCCTTTGCCCAGCTCTACGAAATTTGGAGGCAAATTTTGAAAGACCAGCGACAACTAAATCTTGAATTTCATTACTAGTAACATTTGGAGGTTAGTTTGAAAAATAACTAAATTTTGGATTTTATTATTTACAACTTTTGGGGAGTAGTTTTAAAAGCCCGGCGCTACTAAATTTACTATTGTTACTATTGACTTGTGACGAGGGAGACTGATTTGGAACGCCCAGCGTAAATAAATTTGATTTATTATTTGCAATTTTTTATGGTGGGGTAGTACTTTTAAAAGCGTTACTAAATGCTACATCCCGTTACTAGCGACATTTTTAACGAGAGCTTTGGATTTTAATATTTGCAACTTTTCGACTGTTTTAGGAATAAACACCTCACAGACCCGACCGGTGTTCTAACCATTTAACATTTACACTTTTTTGTAAGTCTCTCTAACAACGATTACGGGAGATATTGTATAAAATGCACTAACTCTAATAATAGCGTTATAATAGTTATTACACTTAATATATGAACTATGTAAGCAGTAAAGCCACTAGAACACAAACAGTTACTGGCTACGAAAGAATAAGAAAAAGACTAATATTATTAAGGAGCGAGAACAATAAAAGAAGACAGTAGATAACGATCGACATTGCACATAATTTTTTGAAGATCAAAGTTGGCTGGAAAGCATGAAGTCGAAAGAGAGTTCCACAAGTGAGAAGTGCGAGAGAAGAAGCTGTTAGCATAGAACTTACGGTTATATCTCCCCAATTCAACTTGCATTTGATGAGACCTTGCGCCAATCTATATTGCTCTTAAATTCATTAATTCTAGGTACCATAGCGGAAAGTTCATCAGAAAAATTACCATGAAAGTATTTATAGAAAAGGCATAGGAAAGCTACATAACGCCAATGAGAAAGCCGAGATGTTAGATCAGGACTAATAACATCGCTGATCTTCTTTGGATTTTATCAAGAATCTCTAAATATATAGCAGGAGCATCAGATCATTTGTGGCATTAATATTCAATGCATAGACGAATGGTAGAATGATAAAATAGATTTTGGGGAGAAAAATTGTCTAGCATGACATAATTCGCCAACTTTGGTAGCAGCAGACCGAGCAATGGATTCAATATAATCTTTTTTTATGTCATGATAGCAGAGAATGTTAACCCGAGAAGGTCCAACGAGTTACTCTCATGGAGTTAGGCAAGCTGATAGGTGTCAGAAATGGGTTTCTCAGTGTTGTGGAGTTATTTCGCAGTGGAGGCTTGTATTTGTACTAAATCGGTCCTAAAATAGGTTCGACGTACAAAACGTTAGGAACTTGATATAATAGGTATTACGCAGAGTAATCTTGTTGTGCTCGCTGACTACTTTCGTATTCGACTAACTGTCGACTACTGTCGTCCGACATCGACGCTATTTAGTAACTGCCCCATGTAGTCACATGTGGCACAAGGCCAAATTTAATGTGGGGTTCCAGAGCCCATAGGATCGGCCAAAAAATCCCCGCATAAACGGGATCGGGTCTGTCTACCTCCCCGGACGAAACTCTGCCCTTCGGCATAGCCTCGTCCGGGTTCCTCTCTACCCAAAGGCAGAGTTCGACTGTCGTCCGACATCGACTAGTATTTAGTCACCCCACCACGAGGGTATCATGTGGCACAAGGCCGGTTTAACGTGGGATCTGCTAGCCCGTGGGCTCGGCCAAAAATATACCCTTTAAACCCGTATAAAAGGGTTCAGGGTCGGTTTACCTCACCGAAAGAGACTCCACCCTTCGGCGTAGCCTCGTTCCGGTTCCTCCCCGCCCGAAGGTAGAGAGTTCAACCGTTCAGCCGGTCGTCCGACATCGACTGAGCCTCGTTTCTCCTACTTATATTAGGTGGGAGAGTCTAATAACTATAGAATAGGTGTTTCACCATAATACTCAGATGATTAATAGAGAGAAGTTTTGTTTTGGGGGCGTTATAATTAACAAATTATTCCCTGATCTAATTAACATGTTATAGGTCATTTTTAGATCACCTGTCAATCTGACCTAATCGAAAGTATCAGACGTACTATTGAGAGATGAGTAAATAGTTGTAATCAGCGTAAATACAGAGATAAGAACTGATGTCATCAGGAAGGTCATTGATGAATATTACGAATATAGTAGATCAAAGTATGGAGTCATGGGACACCTGCATTAATACAAAAATGTTTCATTTCGCGATTTGATAAGAAAGACTGTATCAGTTCAAATATTCGTCTAGAAATCTCATAACCTTTCAACTTGTGAAGATGACCGGTATGCCAATCGTTGTCGAAGGCTTTCCAAAGCAACAGCTCAAACTTTGCCATTCTTATCTAAAACTTGGTAGACTCTTTCAGCAATAATCGTTAATACATCAGAAATTAACCAAGAAAAGTGAAAGCCATATTTCTTGTTTGGAAGAAGGCCCTGAGATTTGAGATGCTTAACCAATTCAGAGTTAATTAGGGCTTCTCGTAATTTGGCAAAAAGAGGTAGAAGGCTAATTAGCCGATATTTAGCAGGATGATATGGTTCACCTGTGTTCTTAGATTGGAACTACAGAAGAGGATTTCCAACAATTTGAAATGTATTGTTCTTAGAAAACCTTGTTAAAAATATTTTGATTGCTTCCCTCTAAACGATCGGGTTCGGTCGTCTTCTCCAGGTATTGAACGCCGAGGCGACTATGACACGCACGGGAAATGGCGATGACAACGCGGCCTACCGCTGCGCCACGTGCACACTACCAGGTGGCATCGTCGACCAGAGCCGAAGACGTCACAGGAACGTTAGATCGGTAGTAGAGACGGGTGATTTTTAAAAAAGGGCAGAGACATGATCAACGCGGGCTGTTTAGCCGCGCCTACCAGGAATTCTTCGCTCACGGGGTTAGTTACAGGCCCCGATCACAGGCGGTGGTTTAGAGGTTTCCCGACACTCTCAGGCCGGGGCGAAGTTCTCGCTGATACCTCAAGGGTAACGCGAGTGCAGTCCCATTTTCGAGAAATATTTTTTAGCGCTTTATGTTTACATTTGTTTCAGGACAAGTCCTTGAAGCATTTAAATCATCAAGTTCTTTTTTTTTTTTAATTATTTTTTGGTCAAGCAGGACCCCCAGTTACAGAAAATATGCTCTGAATCATAAAATAAAATATGCAATTAAAAACAATCACATTATTTAATTAGAGCAGCTGTTAATTGCTTTTATGAATAAAATATATTATGCCACATAAAATATACGAACAAAGAATTTCTAGGGAAAATTAATTATTTTCATTTTCTTAAATTTTAATTAGAATAATTTATAAACTTTTAAATCTAAAAATTCAATGTGTAGCGGTCAAGTGATATTGTTATTAAATGAAGTTGCTAGTTATATTTGGAAAAGCTTACTACAATTCAGCGACTATTAGTATTTTTAAAATAATTTTGAATTATTTTTTCTTTTATGTGTACAAACGTGCCAAATTCTGTAAATACGGATGTCCAGACGCGAAGTTAGCAGAAAAGAAAAGCGCTAAAAAGAATAAATTTAAAAGTTATTAGTAATTTTCTAACATTTCCTCAAAAAGCGCCGTCGTAAATAGAAATTCAATAAAATATTAGAATGTATAAAATATTCTAATTTTCAGAAATTACTGAATAGTTAAAAAAAAAATTATATGAAAATGCCGATTATGTTGTATTCGTCATGTAATTTTATTACGATTATCTCCTTAGAGAAATTTCCAAGCATCAGACTGTCAATAAATATGTCAACACCTGACAAAAAGACCCACCGCCGCGTTAAAAACGCTTTTCTGCGATATTTTAAAGTAAATATTAATATTTGTTTCAATTCAGATTAATTAAAATTTAAATCTGCTAATATTTCTGAAATAACGTTTCAGTTCTGTATAATTTTTTTTAAATATTTTTTACTTTGAGAATATCCCGGAGGTGTAATGGCGATCTGAATGGGGTAATAGAATTTCATTTTTATGTAATTCCTTTATATGCTATATAATAAATATATTGAGCTCTCTTTTGTGGATCAGTTTTAATATATTATATCATTAGGATCTACTTGGATTACTTACACAGGTATTTTTACACACACATATATATATATATATATATATATATATATATATATATCAATTTATATATATATCCCAGCGTGAAGAATCGCTGGAAAGTGCCTGAAAAACCATCCTACATGTGGACGAAACCCTTGTAAGAAAAGTGTTCACGAGCTGTACTAGCACGAAATCACAAGTCTTCGTGACCGAGAGTTTTACTTCAATTATTGGTCACGCCAGATTATGGCTCTTATTTTCAGGAATTGTAACTAATATCCGTTCTGCATAGTCACCGTATCAACCACAGTTTGGCTCTGTGGGTGTTGAAAAATCACTAATGTGCCTACGCAGACATTTGCAGCAGGTTAGTTTTCCTAAGAGACGGGCACTCGCGAAAACAAGCAACCAGCCATTAATATTTATCCCACGTTTAAATCGAGACCGTTCTCACGATGCAGAACTATTCTATCATAAAACGTCTAGTCAGTGCATTGTTTATAATAATGTTTGTTGATCTATACTTGCGTATGGTCAGTGTCTGTCTTTTTTTACGGTTGGTGCCTTGTCGCTCCTGACGAATAGGCGTATGCATCAATTTGCCTTCCTTTTTCGGCCTTTTTTTATTCGTTCCTACAAGATAAAACACAACGCACATGCGCACACTAAAGCAAACCAACGAGCGGAAATAAAACTAACATTCTAAATAAATCGTGTGTAACTGTGTAAAATCGAGCTTAACAAAATGTTATCCTGTGCCTTTTAGCTGACCTTTGCTTCTGTGAGATGAACATCGCAGGTATATAATTTTCTGTTCGATAGGTACGTGATTTTATAAAGTTGATTGACTCCTTACCAGAACGATTAATTAATTGATTTTTTACGGCTTACCAACCTTTTACATGTTACTTTAGACAGAAAATATTTTTGGGATTGCTTGTACTCTTTACCAGAACGATTGATTAATTGATTTTTTACGGCTTACCAACCTTTTACATGTTACTTAAAGCCAGAAAATATTTTTGGAGTTGCTTGTACTCCTTACCAGAACGATTGATTGATTGATTTTTACGGGATATCATCCTTTTACGGGTCATTTAAAACCAGAAAATATTTTTGGAGTTGCTTGTACTCCTTACCAGAACGATTGATTGATTGATTTTTACGGGTTATCATCCTTTTACGGGTCATTTAAAGCCAGAAAATATTTTTGGAGTTGCTTGTACTCCTTAACAGAACGATTGACTGATTGATTTTTACGGCTTACAAACCTTTTACGAGTTATTTAAAGCCAGAAAATATTTTTGGAGTTGCTTGTACTCCTTACCAGAACGATTGATTGATTTTTACGGGTTATCATCCTTTTACGGGTCATTTAAAGCCTGAAAATCTTTTTTCGGAGTTGCTGTCGCTCCTTACCAGAACGATTGGTTAATTGATTGATTAGCTGATTTTTTACGGTTTATCATCCTTTTGCAGGTTATTTAAAGCTAGAATATATTTTTAGATTGTAAGAATTTTTGGAGATAATAAGGATTTTAACTGATACAAATTCTACTAATTAACCTATAGCTGGGGGAGAAGAGGCGGATTCATACCTTTCCCAAAGGTATTTGCGCGCAAGTGAATATAATGAAACCGTCTGGGACTGAAATTGGAACTTGACTCTCCAATTAACAATTCCGAGCCGTTACACATTAGCTTACTGCACCCAGTATCCACCCACCTAGATACGGACCAGGCTCGACATTGTTTAAATACGGTGATCCTACGAAAACTAGTGTTTCAATGTGAAATGGCCGTAAGTCTTTACCAGAACGACACTCAGATTGAAATCATAGGCTGTAGTTAGTAAAACATTTTATTAGTACATTCATCATAATGATTCCAATTGAAATACCTCGACACGTTTAAGGACCTCCACGGCTTGTTTTTTTGCTTCCGCTGTGCATTGATGCGTGATTAGGATGGGCTTTTGATTCCAGACTTACCCATAAAACTGATAAACTTATTTTGAATGCGACAAAACTCCCATCGATACTAGAAATAGCGAGGGCACTTACTAAACTTGAGAAACGTATTTTCATTTAAAAAAAAAAGCAAAAAAAGCTGTTTTAAGAGAAGATTTTCTGAATTTCAACGCCAACCGTTCGATCAATGAATGCTGAATGTTTGCAGGAAATGGTTAACCCCCACCATTACTATTTGTATCTTAAAAAACAGGAAAAGGTGATTCTGGTCATATTTTCAAGTAAGTGTTAAATTTGATATATATATATATATATATATATATATATATATATATATATATATATATATATATATATATGTGTGTTGTGTGTGTGTGTGTGTGTGTGTGTGTAGTAAAGGTATTTACTCAGTTGGTATATAATCCAAGTGAATCCTAGTAATATCAAATATTAAACCAGATCCGCAGAAAGAGCTCAATGTATTTATTATACAGAGCAAATAAATAGTAGTAAACTATAAAATCTAAAATTACCTCATATGAGGTATATCCCAAATGAGGTAATTTGCGAGTTTATCGTTTACTATATGTATGTGTGTGTGTGTGTGTGTGTGTGTGTGTGTGTGTGTGCGCGTGCGTGAATAAACCTATTTCTGTTTTGTGAGTGTTTATATTGATTCTTCTTTATATAGAATAATGTTTTCATATACACATGATCATGCTTCAGTCCTAGACATATTTTGGGCGGAATACAAGGCCCGATGTGGGATCCCTAGGCTAATGGGACTCTCCTTAGATAGCGCTAGCCTCTAAATCGCCCGCACGCGTCTTGAATTTGTTTTACTTGTGATAGATTTTAGTGAAATTTACATAGCTTGAGGTAAACTTATCAAAAATTCTTTCAATAAACTAGAATGGCTACCTTTTAGTTATCAATAAAACTAATCTTTAAGAAATACCGCTATTTTACTATTTATTGCAAACCAAATTAGCAGAGATTTCAACCGAACTGAACTACAGAAAAATATATTTTATATCTAGCATTATAAACAAGCCTGAGCGGCCCTAAGCTGCAGCTGATACTGCTTATAGGATAATCCAGCCCTAGTGAGATGTTTAGGCAAAAGCTATCTACAGAATACCAGGCTTTCGTTGTTTCTTTGTTTATGAGCTATTATGTGTGTGTGTGTGTGTGTGTGTGTGTGTGTGTGTGTGTGTGTGTGTGTGTGTTTGCTGTTCATCCTAGAAAAATAATTGTAACTCGAAGGGAAAATAATTATATAATCAAGATGTTGACTTTCCATATTACCTTTAAAAAAATGGTTAGTCTGGAATTCCCCGTCAAAACTAGAAAAGGCGATAACGGCGGAACTGCTGAAATCTATTTTCTCGAAAAAACTGTTTGAAAGGAAAGATTTTAGAAACTTCAATTGACAATGATGCTAAATATACTAGTCAATGAATGTCGAATGCTTCCTGTTTGGAAACGGCTATTTTCATTATTACCATTACTAGAAAAATGTTAATTGGGATTTAAAGTTAGGCAAACCTCTAAAAGTCAAAAAGTACTCATAAATTAACTAATTCCGCCATTACTTTTACATTTGTGTGTAAAGTATTGCTATTTAATAGGACATGAGTCGATATTTTTTAAGCAGACAGTAAAACTCAAACTCAAACTCCGTGAGAATAGTTTATGTCCTATAGAGCGATGTCAGATGCTACAAAATATCAGTGTCATAGTTTGGGTACACGCAATAAAATATAAAGTTCATATTGAGGATGAGTAAAATATTAAGGTCATATTGGGGAATACTCAGTAAGATATTAAGTTCATAATTGCAGAACACTCAGTAAAATATCAAGGTTATAGTTTATGGATAATCAGTAAGATACCAAGATAGTATCATCACTATCACAAGATACTATCACCAAGGTCATAGTTGTGATACACTCAGAATATCATAATTTTGGGTCACTCAGTAAAATATGGTCAGAGTTTATGGATAGTCATTAAGATATCAAGGGAGACACTCATTAAAGTCTGAGCTGACCCCACGAACAAAGGACGCCATGCCATGCAGATTGTATCGAAGCACCCTCATTTCCTTCGTATTCCATGGGTGAGATGTAAATTCTACTCAAACAGCTTCTTCATATGGAACCAACTCCAAAGACGATACTTCCCCACATCACTACAATCTTAACATGTTCATGTCTTGAGTTAACCGCTATCTTTCCTACATAGGCTCATAACTTGTGCCTCTTACCTCTTACTCTTTACCACGAGCGGTTCTTGGGTCTTGTACTAGGATGAATATTATTGTAAAAAAATTAATTAAATTAAATAAAAACTTGTGAAGTCTATTAAATTCTCTTGTTTTGGTGTATTTCCGTGTATTTCGACCGTTCTATTATACTATATACCTCTCTCTCCCTTTCTCCTTTTCCCTCGTTTCTCATCCTTGTTATCACTCCCGTTTTTCCCCTCTTTTTCCCCCTATTTTTTCCTTTTTCTTTTCCTCTTTCTTTTTCTCTTTCTCTCTCTCTCTCTCTCTCTCTCTCTCTCTCTCTCTTTTCCTATTTCGTTTCTGTTTTCTGATTTTCCTCTCTCCTCTCTCTTCTGTATATTTTGTCTTTTCCTCTCTTTATCCCCTGTTTCTATTCTCTCCTATTTTCCCTCTCCTCCTTTTGTCCTCTACCCCCAACTTTCTGTCTTTCCCTCTCAACCATTCTCTTTTCTTTCATTAATATCTACCGTCATATTTTCTCCGTCTTTCTTTTTTTTTCTTTCTGCCCTCGTCTACTTAGTTTATTTCTTTCATTCTCTCTCTCTCTCTCTCACACACACTCTTTCTTTCTCTCTCTCTCTCTCTCTTTTAATCTTTCGTTTTTACTCTCTTAATTCTCGTTCTGTTTCTTACTCTCTTTTTCCTCTCTCTCTCTCTCTCTTCACTTCTTTCATTCTTTCAACAACTCTTTATTCATTTCTCTCGTTTCACTGCACAGCTGCTTCTATCCTATTACTCTCTCCCTCTATTTACCTCACTCTCTGTGTAGTTTTACAACGATGTGATCATGTATCTGTCTGCTGTTTTTGTCTTCGACCGATAGTGTTCCAGTTCCCAAGATGTCGTCTGCTCCACCCTTTCATGAAGACGCATGTTTATGTCTGGTTTGGGACAAAGACAAATTATTAAAGCCTAAAGATGAGAACAGAACTTTTCGTTACTGCTGCAACACCATTAAAGAGACGACAGAAAAATTAAACACTGCTCATCGCATTTAAAGACTATTTAATTCTCTTTTAATGTTCATAAACAATTATATGGCGTTTTCTATTCATCTGAGAATTCTATGCTAAATCCCAAATCCCATTATTACTCACAAGTTGCTCATGTGTGTTTTTCTTTTACGTTAAATGTTTTTTGACTCCATTTATCACTATCTATCTCTCCCTGCCTCTGTCTTTGTCTCTCTCTCTCTCTCTCTCTCTCTCTATATATATATATATATATATATATATATATATATATATATATCACTATTACTTAAAAATATGTTTTCATCACGACACAGAAATTATCAGGTTTTGAAACCAAATCCTAAATCTTAAATTAAACTTAAAATTTAAAATTAAGTTTCTTTTTCAAACGATGCTGAATAAATTTCGAAAAGATAATTTGCTCTTTTTATAGAAACTGTATAGTTTAAGTTGGTGGGGGAAAGAGAATTTGTTTCTTTGACGAATGAAGATACAAGTATAATTTACGGTGGCAAAGTAAGTATTGGTTAAGGTTAGGTGTGGGTTAGAAATTTCTGTCTGTTGATACTAGCTTCCTTATATGAGAACGTGTCATCACAGGCTGGTTTATTTAGGATACACTACAAAGATATATATATATATATATATATATATATATATATATATATATATATATATATATATATATATAAAGAACAAATAAGAAACGTTTATGATGATTTAACATGTCTCGCTTTTATTAAATTTTCATTAGAAAATGAAATATGGAAAAAAAAGAAAAGTTCATTGTGTTGCTTGCTTTTCATTGGTTAAGTAGACCTCACGCTTATTTGTCTTGTTCGGCAGCGTTCATGTGTATAATTCATGTGTATCCGTGTATCATAATTCTATGGGGGAGATAATGTGAGTGTGCATGTGCATTTAGTGATCATTTTTATTTATATCTGGTAAAAAGACCATGTTGTTAATTTGGGAAGTTTTATGTTGGAGTTTTAAAATAATAGGTTATACAAAGGTTATGGTGGTAGGTAAATAATCTTAGATCTTAAAAATAGGTAATTCCTATTTTAGATAGATAGATAGATATGTATACACATATATGTATATATACATATATATTCACATGAGCATATATATATATATATATATATATATATATATATACACGTGAGCATATATATATATATATATATATATATATATATATATGAGCCATCATCAGAGTGGCTATGTGGACATAACAACAGAGATGTGCACCGTCAAAGATGGCATCCTGATTTGTTTACATAGAAGTTTACTATGCTACGATAACGGTCGCGGGATAGAAGACGCATGTCATAAATTCGTAATGCGGTTTTATGTCGTACTTGACCACGTGTTCGTATAGCCAGTCTGATGATGGATCATGTGAGTCGAAAGCTTAGATCGACGACGACCAATATAATGAAGAAATATCAAAATGTTGGACAGTTTTTGTCTTTATTTTCTCTTGAAACTAAAGTCATTATTCGATGCTTGGAAAGGCTCATGATAAAACATAATAGACATTCGTTGTCTTTTATGGTTAACAATATATATATATATATATATATATATATATATGTGTGTGTGTGTGTGTGTGTGTGTGTGTGTGTGTGTACGAGAGAGAGAGAGTGAGTATCTTCGTATTTTTCTTTCTTTATATTACTCCTTCTCCCTATCTTTCTACGCATATACTAAGGGAGGGAACAACATGAACGTATGTGCCTCTTTTGCTGATGAAATATTCAATCACAAGTATAGCCAAAAGTATAACTGCTTTTGGAAAACTTCGGTACAGTCTTTGGAATGAATCAGAAACAATAAATCTGAAAAAATTAATGTTTATTAAGCTGTAATCCCTTTCATTTTCTTGTACGGATCGAAATCTTCGGTTTCCTATAGATCACATATCAACAAGCTTGATATAATTCCGAAAAGACATGTTCAGGCTATTTGGGAATACACCTTACACAACACAACAAAATGTCAACTATTGATCTATTCTCTAAAGATAAAATTGGTGGGATTTGATTCTGTCTTCTGTGATCCAAATAAAGGTGTACTGGTCATGTAATCAGAATGAGCGCCAATAGAATTTGCATAGCCAGCTCCACGATAGAAAAAAAATCGCAGAAAGACTATGGCTGAGGTACAAAGAGAATTTTAATATCCTGAAAACGACAATGATTCCAACAGAAAAATGTAAATAAACGGCAGTGAATTGTAGTGAAAGGAGGTTTTTATAAAGCATTTGTTTTTTAAAATGAAATAAGCCTTCATGGTAATTTTTAAAAATTGAAGGTAAAGACAAAAGTCAACCTAAAATGCCAGCCACTTATATATAACATATATTTGTATCTGCTTTTTTTATAACCTTTCTCAATCGGTGGCTTTGTCTGCAAATCTTTGTGTAGATTAAATATTCATAAGAGATATAAACATCAGAATTAAAAAAAAATAATTTGGGGGATTCTCATACGTCGAAATCTACAGGAGACTTCAACATATATATATATATATATATATATATGTGTGTGTGTGTGTGTGTGTGTGTGTGTGTGTCCGAGTGCGTAGTATATTTGAGCAGCAATTGTTCGTTTAAACATGTATTGTTAAAAGCAGAAGACATTTCATTTATTATATTCAAACGTTTTTAGTGGTTACCCGTATTTGAGTAGACGCCAAGTTTGTTTTTTAAACAGACCTTATTTCCTGTAACCCTTAATAAAGAATAACAATAATAAATAATAATAAAGTGGACGCTTTAATAAAGGCTCGAATCTTGCCGGTAATTGAAATAAAAAATATATAACTTGATAACCAAACAAAAAAGAACGGAACGCCTACCCAAATACGAGTATCCACGAAATATATATAATCATTTCATCCCATGCAAAGTAGTAGAGTCATTAAGATACAAGGGGGCTACTAAGTATGAAAGAACAAGATAATACTGTACTATTTGATTCCCTATTACAGAGCCGCCAGTACTCATTTCCTTTGTCATTTGACTCACTTATCTCAGGATCCCTTCCATTTTTCAAAACTGTTTCCAAAGTACGCTTCCGTCTTCGCCATCAGCTGCCATGTTGTATTCCCCTTAATCGCACCTACAATGTTTCAACACCAATTTTAGTTTTGTGAAAAGTCAAGAGAAGCCAATTCTGAATAGTATAGGGGCTAACAAATATGGCCGATACTATCTTTTGCCAATAATTCATGTACGACACTTGAAGAATATATTAATATAATATTATTGTCTGTTCGATGGTCATCTGCGATAAAATGGTGAAATCTCTTTAGTCTCACTTCCCGACTGCGCAACTCTAGTAGAGAATATCTGTTTTGTGTTTTTACAACTAAATTTTTCTCAGCGTGTATGATTGTTAAATTTCTTGCTTTAAAGCTCTTTGTGTGTAGTTGGTTGTTAAGATGGAATTAGATGTGATTTCATCGCGTGTATATTTGAGAAAAAGATGCAAGGGCGAAAGTGAGCAGGATGGTGTAAGTGTCACGTAGCTTAGTGAGAAGTATGTAAATGTCACGTAGCTTGCGAGAAAGACCGTTAGTGTCAAGTAATTTGGTAAGGACGCGAGTAAATTAGTGGGGAAGAGTGTAAATATCACGGAGATTGGTGAGGAAGACTATGACCCAGGTAGATTGGTGAGGAAGACTATGACCCAGGTAAATTGGTGAGGAAGACTATGACCCAGGTAAATTAGTGAGGAAGACTATGACCCAGGTAGATTGGTGAGGAAGACTATGACCCAGGTAGATTGGTGAGGAAGACTATGACCCAGGTAGATTGGTGAGGAAGACGGGTGAATAAATAATAGAATCTCCTTGAAACCGTACGCATCGTGAACAGTTGTCGTCTGTTGCCATTTCCTTACTGATTTTGTCCGTCTAAAGGCTTTAATGAAATTTTCTTTAAAGGGATCACAAAACATTTGTTTTACTCCCCGTGGAATGCGACCCATTGATTGAAAAATGTTAAATATTTATTTTCAAAGTATTAATTTATGAAGCGGAATGATGCGCGGATCCTCGGATTGTTTAAGCTTTCTTTTTTTCTTTTTTTTTTTCAATTTATGGCTGTCTTGGTGTTTGTTTCCGTCTTCGCTCCACAAATCAAGACTTCCTGCCAAAAAAAAAAACTCAAACCGGTAGCTTTTATCTTGGCTCAAAATACAATAAAATTATGGAATCTATTTCGTCTCACTCCCGACTACGCAAATCTAGGAGAGAATATCTGTTCGCGCATGCGCAGAGGATTCCAAAATCACAACAAATTCTTATTATTTTTAAAACGTCTACCAGACTTGTGAATGACTTCGATGCAGGCTCAGAAGTGAATGCATGCCCGGATCAAATGTTGATCGTTCATATTCAATGTCTACAATAGCAACTTCCAAAGAGTCTTACTGTATTGTGTGGCTGATAATTAGTCCCCTTCTCGGTGACGCCCTAGATGTAGTAATACAGATCATCTAAATCAGGAGTGCTAGAAGGCCACATGTTTGAAGTGATAGGAATATTTTCACCTTGTATATCAAAATGTCTTTCGTCCTGGGTATGACGATAAACTACATTCAAGAGAAAGTCCTCTGATCGGGAGATTGAAGGCTTTGAGGAGTATGGAACCATCTCTTAATTGCTGTTGTTCAGATGTCCACCTGACCTGTGGTAGTAGCACCTGTTAGGTTCCTAGCTATGGGAAAATAGTGAACGCCCAATCAAAAATCGACAGTATATATTTATAGTAAAATTAACAACAATACATTATATGATGTACAAAATATCTATCTTAAAAACATACCTTTACCCTGTAAATATAAAATTATGTACAAAATATGTGTAGATGAAAGCATAAAATTATGTATAAAATATTTAGACAACGGCATTAAATAACTC